ACGTGTGCTCTTCCGATCTTCATTTAATCTACCTGATTGACATCAATGAGGACGTGGTCGAACTCCGCGTACTGCTCGCTGCTCACTTTGGAAACGACTTCCTTGTAATGCCCTGGGACCAGGAAGACCAGGAGGGAGGGAGGGAGGGAGGGAGGGAGGGATGGATAAAAAAGGGGCCACGGACAAACGTGCATGTGCAGTATTTTAGTATGTCTCAAGCAATGTATCAGGTTCACGACGGGGCGCTTTGAGGAGGAAAGGATGTACCGATGACCTCTCCTTCCACGCCTTCCTCCTTCCCCTCCCTCCCCCTCAACATTACCTCGAAACCACTTCCAAAAACCATAGATGCCTCCTTCCACAAACGGCAATATGGTAAAGAGCAGAAGGAGGAGAACAAGCGAGAGAAGCGGTGGGCGCCCTGGGGTGGCAGCAGGAAGGAAATCAGAATAGCAGGAAGGGAAGCCAAGGGAGGGGAAGAAGTCACACGACAAAGCTGTCTGGGGCCATTAACAAAGCGCACCTGATCTCCCTCTCCTATTGCTGCCCATCGCTCTCCTTATCATGCCGGAACCAGGCGTAGCCCACGCCTTTTCCCTGCAACTTAATGCACGAATGTGCCTGTGATGCATGGAAGTGTAAGGCATGCACCTTCCTGACAGGCCCTAATAGACTGTACGGTGCCCCAATGCCTGCGTCGTGGGTGCTCTGTGCTATCCCTGAAACACCGCGAGAACGTGTTTCACTGCTTTCACGTCCGAGCCTGCCTACAGTGGGGTGCACGAATAGGAATTTTAATGTGAAACAAGCGAAGGAAGTGCTCGCTCCCAGCGAGGAGCGAGGGGGCTCTGGTAAAGTCCTGCAACTATAATCAAAGCCTGGGAGGGAAAAACGCACATCTCAGCCTTCTTTTCATTCGATTGAACGCTCTTGCCTGTCCGAAATCGTGAGGCTTGGCGCACACACGACGGCATTTAAATGTGGGTGTACCGGGGAAAACCTTTGATTCATGCTTTTGGCATCTCTCTCGTTCCATGCTGGCGCTTCCTGTCCTGACTTTCCTTCCACGTGAAGAGTTATTTTAGGTGACGGGATGACTGTAGTCGGCACGCCACCCAGTAGTCAACGAGACAATGGAGAAAACGGGTCGAATTGCAGCGCTCTTCACGCCATGGATAATTTTAATGTCGCTTTGACGTCAATATCGGAGCAGCTCGAGCCGCTTTTTGCCTTGCCGTGGGCGGTGGTGTTGGAGAGGTACGGGAGACGACATGCAAAGATAGACACATGTTTAAAATGACACAAGTCGTCACAGTTAGCCTGGGTTGCGCGTGAGGGAGATTGCCAGGGCTCGCAATCCCCTTCACAATTCGTGGTACCTTGCCCACCTCCTGGATACTGTGGGAGAATGCGTGTCGTGCCCCTTTCTTGCGCAATCTAAAGCCTTCGTGGTGCACCTTACTATCTTATATGACATATCCCCTCGTAATCCACCGTTTTTTTGCCACGCATCTAGCCTGAAAGAGGAGGAGCGCGCGAAACTCTGTCTGGCCATGGCTTACGCTGTTCATTCGTTGTACTACATGCTCCTACGTACCCGGGTAAGCAGACGCGACGTGCGGCAGAGAAAGAAAGGACGCGACGCGAAGGCAGAGAAAGAAAGGACGGCAGAGAAGGAGGCAGAGAAAGAAAGGACGCGACGCGAAGGCAGAGAGAGGAAGGACGCGACGTGAGACATGTCCGTGCAATCACCCACCTCCCCATCTGCTCTGCATGCGTGGCACACCAAACAGGGGCAACCGACCAAAACCCATCGCGTACGGGTGGAGCTGGAGAGGGTAAAGACGTACATGTCTCGGCTGCAAGTGAGTGGGGGCGAGTCAAAGAGACATAAAGATGGGGATGATCAAGTTGCTCTTTAACATCTTCTCTTGCTCATACCCCGTTCCTCGCTCCCAATCCGTCCAGGCGGCAGCTCGCCCTCCTTCCCTCCTTTCCTCCTCCCCTCCCTCCCTCCCTGCCTCTTCCCCTCCCTCCCTCAAACTGGACGGCAAAG